TATTGACATGTTCATATGTAGTACAAATGTATCAATCTCAAGTAGCTCTCAATAGCAAGTTCGTTTCTGTAAGCACTTGTGGAGCCATCCACTGAGCCTCTAAAAGATCAACACAAATTCGCACTAATTGGCATAAATCAAAACACAAATGCAATTCATTTATAAGAAAATAAAGAAAATAAAAAGGTTTAATTTATGCGGGAAAATAGTGTTGTTTAGGTTCAATTTGTATATATACTAATTGGCATAAATCAAACAAAACACATGCAATTATTTGTTTGTAGGAAAAAGCAAAAAAAAAGTTTAGGAGGAAAAAAAAACAGTGACGTTTAGGTTCAATCTGTTTATGTACTAATTGACAGCCTATATATGAAACCCAATATGTAGCAACGCTAACGGCACATCATTTGCCTCTCCTATAAATCTCATTTTGTCGTAACATTCTAAATTAATTAACAAGAGAGGGAGAAAACAAGAACCTTGAGAGAGAGTGACCAAGAATCTTTCTTCTTTCCTCAGTTTTCCCGCTATTTTCTTTGGCTGAAGAACAATGGATCATGAGAGTTCGCCAAGTTCATCCTCTTCAGCTCCTCCGGAGAATCTCGTTGAATCGATCATCGGAAAGTTCGTCTTTGTCATTATCAAAGACGATATACGATACGAAGGAGTGCTATTTTTTTGGCGAGAAAAAACTTGTCTCTCTATTTTTAGACATTTTTATTTATTTTCTCGAATTTTAAAAATCAAAAGCAAAGAAAGAGTGCTATTTTTATCCAATAAACTTTTCAGTGCTATTTTTGTCCCAAAAACTTGATTTGGGGTTATATGAGACAATTTTTTTATATATAGGATTAATAACAGATTATATAATTTCTTTAATTCTTTTTCTATTTTAAATCTTTTTCCTTGTACAATTAGTAACTTATAAATAAAACATTTAGAATAATTTTATAATTTTGATATTTATGAAAAATATACATGTAATTTCCTTATATATACTTATAGTTTCCTTATAATAATCTTTTTATATTTTTAAAACTGTTTAAATTTATGATTTTGTTATAATTATCTTTTTACAATTTTTAAGTTGTTAAAACAAATTTTTGTTTGCCACATGGCAAAATCTCATATGGAGATATATGTATAATTTCTTTATAATTATCTTTTTACATTTAAAACTCTATAAATTTATAAATTTCTTATAGTTATCTTTTTTCTTTTTTAATTATTTGAAAACCATATTTTATACACGATGCATACAATATATAAGATTTTATCGGTGTTAAAGAAAACGTGTCAAACCCTCCTCGTCCGCCTCCGCCACCATCTCCGTCTTTGTTTTCTTCACTACCAGATGACATTGTTTTGAATATCTTGGCTCGCATATCCACTTCGTACTACCCAACGCTCTCTCTTGTCTCCAAGAGCTTCCGCTGGCTCATCCTCTCTGAGGAGCTCGACATGGAACGTTCCTACCTTGGAACCCGAAAACAATGTGTTTACGTCTGCGTTCAATCTCCCACCCATCTTTTGATCGTAGATGGTTCAGTCTCTGGATAAAACCATATGATCATCAACCCCTAACCCATTGGACGATCGACATCAAGTGTACCGTGCTACCGATGCCCTCTTCATACTCTCGTCGCTTACAAACACTCCACGAAACTGTTGGTTCAAAAACATACGAAATCGGTGGACAAAACACGCTGCCCTCAACCGACGTGTGGGTCTATGATAAGCTTATTGGCAAACGGTGCAAAGGCCCTAGCATGATGGTGGCTCGTAAGAATGCCCTTACATGCGCACTTGATGGGAAACTATATATATGTAATGGGAGGATGTGAAGCGGATGAATCCACGCATTGGGCTGAGGTTTTCGACCCAAAGACTCAAAGTTGGGAAGCTTTACCGGATCCTGGTGTTGAGCTCCGGTCCTCTTCAGTTAAAAAGCTCCAAACGAAGCAAGGAAAAGTTTACGTGAGGAGCAATGTGAAGAATTTTGTTTACCTTACAAAAGAAAGTAGGTGGGAAGTTGCTGAGGGAAACTTAGGTGACCGTGAGATTATGTGTGAGATAGAGAATGTATGCTACTCTTATGCTAATAAAAAATGTTGGTGGTATGACACAAAATGTGAAGAGTGGAGATCGGTCAAAGGTTTGGATCGACTTGAGTGGCATTATAAAACTCATACTGAAATAGGTAATGATGGTGGAAAACTCGTCGTCTTTTGGGACCGTGTGGGTTCTCGTATTACTGCAACCAAAGAAATTTGGTGTGCTATGATTTCGCTTAAAAAGGAACCTGATGGTGAAGTTTGGGGTCACGTTGAATGGCTTGATGCTGTGCTTATAGCCTCTCGGTCGTATACACTCTCGCATTGTATGGACTCATTGCAATGATCAACAATGTGCTTTTGCTTTGATCTTTTATTCTTTTATCAAGTGATGATACATAGGAGTTTCAGTCAGATAGGATATGCTGATCTTTTTTCAATTTCTCCTTTTACGGCACAAAGTTTAGTCTTAGCAATAGTTATTGATTGATACTTCTATGTTTTTCGGTCATGTTTTTTATTCATTAGTAACATTCTTTTTTCTTTATCAACGTAACCAGTAAATGAAATATGAATGAAAATTAAGTAGCTCTCAAATAAATAGGTGTTACCGTGACATCAAGTATGAATCAGGCTTAAGTAGCTCTCATCAACAACTTTTATATGCACTTGGAGCCATCAATTAAGCCACTAGTCACTAGAAGACCAACAAGTACAAATTTAAGCCTCGGCTTTATGATTGATAAGCTATTGAAAAGGGAGTAATAAAGAGAGATCATGAAATGTCAAGAAAATCCTTGATGATGGTTCACACAGAAGAAAAACACACAGGCTTATTGTTAGTACATCTTACACAGCAAATAAGATGAACACAACAAATCATATGGTTATAATAAAAGTCACAAAATGGTAACAACTTATGAACATCTTTTGTAACCTTAGAAAATATTTTGCATGAATTATAATCGAACCAAAACCAAAGTACCAGTCATCTTAATTGAACCAGTTAACCGAAACTTAATGCATAAACCCGGTTTAATCCAGATTCTCAGTGGTTTACACATGAAGCTAAGTAGTTCTGACTAGATTGTTAAGACTCTAATAAACTATATACAAATGCAGGGAATGAAAATGACACACTTTTTCATTGCAATTGTCTTGAACCTATATTGGAGGTTGCTTGTCCTTTCCTTCAAAGTAGCTCGAGAACCCGGCTTTCAGCTGCAAAAGATTCAGCATTTTGAGGACGATTAGAAACGAAGAATATATTGGTTTAAGATTCTGAAAATTGAATAAGTTATAATACCTTTTCGACTCTGTCAGTTGTGCCTGAGAAATCTTGTGTTTGTTTTTTGAGCAGGCTGATTCGGGCTTCCTTCTGGCGATTCTGTTCTTCAGCCTGGAAAGTGGATAAACACAAGAAGAAATTGTTTCTAAAATGGCAACACAAGCAAAGAATTAAGTTTCTTGTGCCTCCTTTTTGAGCTTACTTACCCTTTGGAGCAAACCTTTTAACTTTTGTATCTCATTCTTCTTCGCTGTTGTAAGATCATTTGTTATTGCCATTACATCCGTCCTGAGATGAAGTCATTGGGACTTACAATTGAGGCCAATACCATAAATGCAAAAAAAATGGATTAACCAGTATGCAGGAGACCTACTTATCTGAAAATAAGGGATCCAAACTCTGTTCTTCGACCAACTGTTCGACTGTATCAAGAATTGATCCGACCTGCAAAGGAAAAGTGTTTCAGTCATAAGGATTTAGAAAAATCTCTCACTTCACAAGTGTGTGATGACAAAGAGGAACCACTGAAAACATTAACTACTATGTTGTAACAAGCAAATAAGAAGTCTGTCAACAGTACCTGAGCTTCGTGACATTGTTCATCAAACTCATCCTGTAACAATGGTGAAAACGTAAATAAGAGTTTCCAGTTCATCACACCATGAATAACAAACAAAAACACAGAACATTTACGTTTAAAACAAAAATAATCAGAGGCAAGAGTTACCTCTATTGTCTGATGCAAATTCACAACAACCTAGAAACATGTCACAGAGAGACAAGATACATGAGAGAAAGGCTTCTCCTTGTTTATGTAACATCGAAACCAAATGGATCAACATTGTTTCTCTAGAGAATAATAAAGAGAGATACCTACCTGAGTATAAAACTGAAAAAGCAGTTCTTGCTCAGCTCCACTGAATTTCGAGAAAATGTCAAGAAAATCCTAGATAATGGTTCACATAAAGGGTTATTAGTTATACCACACACAGACGAAACATAAAAGCTCTGTGATATTACAAAATCAGAACCAAATTCAAATTAAAAAAAAAAAAAAAAAAAACTCAACTTTTTTTTGCAGTCTCGAGTAAACAAAGACAAAATCAGAACCAAATTCAGTTCTAATCGACAAATGTCTTCAGTGTTGTAACTCAGGATACAATTATCAAGAACCCTAAAACTTCAATTACTGAACAAACCTTCTAAATCAGACAGAACAAAACCCAAAACTGCGATAAACTAAACAATGGAAAATGATTTTGACATTGAAGCATAATACCTGTTTGGAGCAAGCAGTGAGAAGAGATCGAAGACTGGATTTGAATGATTTCTTCAGATTCGTTCGTCTAGAACCCGGAATATCCGTTTCATGACCCGGTTTCTCCATCTAACCCGAATGATAATTTTGTTTCCTTCTTGTTTTAAAATTCCGGAAGCTTACTTAAGAAAATCTATAAGTTGGCAGAGATTTAGAAATTAGAACGAGAAAATTGCCTAATCCAAACATTTACGGCCCATAAGGGCCCATTAAAAATCCATAAGGTTTAGATTCAGACAAGAAGGAAATCAAAGGCCCATTATTACTTTTCCTTTTTTCTTTTGCGGCAAATAACATTTATCTTTCTATAAATACCAGCTTAGACCCAATTTTTAAGGCAATATTTCAAATCGAACAAAACTGCAAAACCAGAGAGAGCGAGAGAGATCAAAAGAAAAAACCCTAATCAGCTAAATCATCTCTTCTTCGTCAATCTTCCTATTACTTTCTTCGGTGAAGCATAATCATGGAAACTGTAAGTTCTCAGTATCTTTCTCCCTGGTCACCAGCTTCAACTCCTCCACAAACTCCCGTCGAAGCGTACATAGGAAGTTTCGTCACTATGATTTCTAACAACAATCTACGTTACGAAGGCATTGTATGTTTTCTCAATATTCAAGATTCGATTCTAGGTCTTCAAAACGGTACTGATTTCGATTCCAAAACCTACAAGAAATTTTTGATTTGTTCTTTTCTTGTTGTGCAAGCTTTTTCTAACTAGGTTTTTGTTTGTGCAGTGATATGTTATGGTACAGAAGGAAGGAACACTAACGGATTTCAAGTTCCTCCGTATAATAGAGTTTACGAATACATTCTTTTTAACGGAAATAACTTTAAGGTTAGTTAAATTGTGTGTGTTTTTATTTACGTATAATAATCACGAACCACCATTAGAGATTTGATTATTCATCTGTTGATTTTTTTTTTCCAGGAGATAATAGTTAAGCCTCCTAGTTGTGGTTATTGTTTAGCAAGAGGATCTACATGTAGTAAAGCTTGTCTTGCCACAAAACCACCACTTCCTATAATTGTCTCACCAAACAATCGATCCGGTGCTAAGATACTCCAACAACTTCCATTGATCTCCAATGAAAATCTCATCATCCCGCAAGCTACAACAGAGTCTAATGCTTTCTCAGTTAATAGATCAGTCAATGATAGATTTCATCACATTGCTTCTCAACAACAGTATCCTGGTTCATACTTCTATGACCCTTATGTTTACCAGTCTATGCCTTATGTTGGACTTAATCAAGCTCCTATAAACGCTGCTTCGGTGTCGAATTTGCCTGAATCATCTACCTCCGAGATGACGTCTGCTGCAAGTAAAAGTTTGTTTACCACGTTTTTGCCTGCGCCAGTCTCTATGCCGCGGGTAATCATATACATTCTTTATTTTTCTGATGTTTGTTTTGTATCCCTTAAGCTCCATCCCATAACTATTTTACTTGTCTTTTGGTTGTAGAATTCTGGAGGATGTGATTTTGAGACAATGACTAAGAACTCTATTCCGTACAACATATGGAGTCTTTCCATATACAAGGAAGTAGAGAAAATATGGGGTCCTTCCAAAAACAAGGAAGAAGAGATCATATGGGGTTTTTTCAAAAACAAGGAAGAACAGGACATATGGGGTCCTTTGAAAAACAAGGAAGAAGAGAGTGCAAAGGTGATCTAACATCTCTTAGCTTAGTTTAATAGAGATCCGATGCTTTGAAGTCAGATGTTCAAGTTCTTGAATGTTAATATTTTGGTATTTAAACGTCTCTTATTGTGTGTGTTTTTTTTTGTAGCCTGCTTATAACATTGATGGTTCTTCTTACATGATCTCGCGCAATCCGTTTGAGCCTATCGGGAGACCTTGCAATCCACTCGGCCCTATCGCGAGACCTGTGAAGCATACCGAGGTTTGCTTCACAACTCTTACCTCTAGATATTCGTGAAAGATTATATATATATCCAAATTACGAGCAAGAGAGTATACCTCTCTCAATAAGAAGATGTTTCTTTTATTGACAATTTTAGTATCTTCATCTTTTCAGGTATTTGGAAATTACTTACAAAGGGGACTTCAATTACAATCACCACTTTCCAATTTCAGAAGTGGATATTATATGCCTTGCTGACCTGTGATGAATCTCTGTTTTGGGGGTTTAAACATTCGTTTTGAGTCGATATCTTTTGTGGCACATATATATCATTGACAAGTTCATGTGTCTTTTGGTATCATGAACTTACCTTTTCACTTGGGATTTTTAAGAGAATGTTGTTTCTTTCTTCTTCTTTTTTTTTCTCTTGTAGCAAACACTACTAACAAGTTAATTCTTCCAAAATATATACAGTCTTTACTGTTTTTCTAGTTCCATGTTTTGTTTTTCTCTATCTCCTTTGAGTTTTGACTTGAATGGGTCAACTATGGTTGACTTGGTAAGTCTTGGGTGGGTGCATCTCTCACACGTGTGAAATCTTCTTTTCATTATATCCATGTTGTTATAAGTTATAATCTTATACTAGTCAGAGTTATGTAGACCATTAGTTGTGGCTTGTGGGGGTTATTATAATTGGGAACGAATCTTCTCCCTAGTTGCCAGTTATAGATTGAGATAAAGAAGAAAATAGCATAATGCATAATATACACAAGTTGAAAATATCACGACACTCTTTTAATTGGTATCCTATGTTTAAGTGGTTGATGGGTGTTACGTCCATTCAACATTCCCAATATAAGTGCATTCACCAATTATATACAATTTTGTAAATAATAACATATCCAATATTTCCCCTTTTACTTTTCGTATTATATTTATTTTATATTCTGCTTATATTAGTGGAAGAATTGTCTTCCACCAAGTGAATGACAGTTTCTGACTTGTTCGTTTGGTGCTCATCATGGTTTTGTTCTTCTTCCATTGATCTTCTCTGTTCTTGGTTTTGGTCTTTGATTACGACTTGCACAAGTTGTTGTTGTTTCTTTAATTTGATCCTGGTGGCTGATATGGTCAAAGCTCCAAGTCCAAGGATGGCTAAGCAACCTGAAGCTGCAAAGACACCGTCTTTGACCAGGTAACAATCTTCATCGAGCCATCCTTCTCCATAAGCTTGACCTCGGCTCATGCTTATTGCAGTACTCAAAATCAAAACCACTACCACAAAATTGAACCTGACACATAGGTAACGAAAAAAAGGAAGAGAGAATTGATCAAATTAAGAATCTAATCTCAAGAGATATTTTCTTTCTTATAGGCAAGCCTTTGTTTTATCTAGCGAATTAACTTGGATGATACATCACCTGGTATGGTTAGAGTCTTAAAAACTCTCAACCGTACTAAAATCGAACCAAACCAAAATAAAGTGATTTAACCGAAACTATACCGAAGTTTGTTTATAATTGATTGGTTTTATTATTTAAATAAATCCAGAAATTTTTTTTTAAAAAAAAAACAGTTTTTGTGTCACCTAACTAATCAGTACAAATTTTGTTTCAATGTTATATTTTATTCATATGAATATAAATATAATATTAATGAACTCCTTATTTACAGCCAAACCTAGTCCAAAACAAAAATTAACGACCAAACCGTAGCGAACCAAACAGAATACAAATGGTTTTATTTGTTTTCGTTTTAATAAAACCGGAAAAATCAAACCGTAAACCAAATTACTCGCTCATAGTCTAAAACTCAGTAGGATATAACGGTAGGTTCGGGCCATCGGAAATTATTGGTTAGACAATTAGATGAGGAGGAAAAAAAAAAGAGAGAAGAGGGAAAAATATTTACCAGGAAAGGAGCAATAGAACAGTTGGTAAAGTAAGATCAGTAATCTTGTAACCATCTTCTCTTTTAGTTCTTGTCTGGTAATTTCGGAACACAACAATGTTTCCAACGATCTGAGCAAGGCAGAAGCAAAGAACAGCGGCTGATCCAAGCCCAAACGCATGGCTTTCGGGTACATAGCAGTTCCTCTCTGTGTCCCATCGAATATCTTCTTTCTACACAGATAATTAAAGTTGGTTCGATTTTTTCCATTAAGAAACACAAAAAGAGATTTTGATGGAAATTACGCCGTACCTTTGTTCTCTTGAACTCGGCTGTGAAACATGTGATGAAGGAAACGAGACCAAGAGAGAACACGACTGAGTTGAGAAAAAGGTTGTGCATAGTTTCTAATGATTTTGTTCCTTAATGGTCAAAATCAATGGGACGCACTTACATATATGTAATTTTACAACATAAATGCTAATATACCTTAACTATTTGAGTCAATTTCTCAGGGGAATTAATTTTCTTAAAAAAATTAGGCTTAGAAAACGTCTTTTACCAAACTACATAAGAAATTAAGAATGGAAAAAAAAAGAGAGAGAGGAGAATATTCTTAATTATATCAAATGATTTTTTTCCAAAACCATTATAAAGAATATAGATGATGGCGTATACAAAAAAAAATCTAAAATGTTTGGATGTGTGAGGCAACTTCTCAATTCTCATAAAATCTTTGTCAAAGTAATGAATATGGACATAAAAAGAGAAGAGAATATTATTAGTTTATTACATATTAAATAAGTATTTTTTCCAAAATCATTATAAGGAAATAGATGATTGTGTTTACTAAAGGCGAGGTCAACGTACATTATTTGGCTTACATACAGTAGTGGCCTTATTAAAAAGAAAAAAAATCTAAATAATGGCATGGATTATAAGTTGAGTATAGATTAAGCCTTCCTGAGTTATAGACTTGAAACTTTTGGTATATTTTTTGTTTTGTTTTAGAACTAAAATCTAATGCCTACTAGGCAAGAAATATTATCCATTTTGCTATTTATTTCTTATTTGATTTATCAATTTACTACTAGTAATAAAAGAAAATGAAATTTATTGCCAATTGGTACTATATGACAAAGCAATTCTTAATAGAAGTTTATCAATTGTTATGAAAAGAAACATTTCATTTAAAAATAAGATAGAAAATAAAACTAAATTCTATTCAGAACAGATGAGACCTCATTTCTTCCTCTTAAGAACATCAACAACATTAAGTCCAATACGATAAGCAATAGACTGAACGGTGACCATCGGATTAACCCCTAAAGCCGTCGGAAAAACACTTGTGTCCGCCACAAATAACCCTTCGACCTCCCAAGTCTCTCCTGTTGGCCTCACCGCGGATTCCTCCGGCCTAATTCCCATCCTACAACTTCCCATTTGGTGAGCTGAACATATCTGACCTGACAAATCCTTCAACGGCTTTGAACTTTCTTCTCTCACAAACCGCTCAAAATCTAACGCACTCGCTGTTCTAACGTTCAAACTCTTACCTTCTGAATTATGCGTCCCAATCTCCTCAGCTCCGGCTGCTGCCAGAATCTTCAAGACTCTATCAAGACCATTCTTTAGACTCTCTTCGTCTTCATCGTTTAAGTTGTAGTCAATGTAGCTCTTGGAATTTATTGTTCCGGTTCCTTTATCTCTCAGAAGCGCAAAAATGTGTGCGGTTCTTGAAAATTTGAGCATTCGGGTTTTGAAATCCTTGCTTGATGTCCAAGGAATGATCCCTGAGAACATTCCTGGATGTAGAGCAGGTGTCTGGATTACCATTTCACCATAAGAACTATGCGTTTCTGCATTTACAACGCTAGACATCGCGGTCATTATTCCTCCTTCGTAGCTCTTTTTCTTCTTTTCCGGCCATTTATCTTCCTCTGGAAACCATCCCCAAGCCATAACAACCGGATGTAGACAAAGGTTTCTCCCAATGTTACCATTCTTCAAACCGCTCCGTTTCAACAGATGCGGCGTTCTAAGCGCACCGCAAGCCACTACCGTCGCTTTAGACTCAACCACATAAATCTCTTCCCCAAACGCAAACGCAACTCCAGTCGCCTTCTTCTTCTTCCCCTTTCCACAGTCGTACAAGACTTCCATCGCTTCACAACCTGGAAGGATTAAACCGTTACCAGATTCCACCAAATCTACAAGCCAAGTCTCTGAAGTCCCTTGCTTTTGACCTTTCTTGCATCCCAAGCAACAAAACCCACAGTAATGATCGGATGGAGCATTCCTCGGAATATTCTTCACTGGTAACCCTAACTCTTCACAACCCTTTCTCAATATCTCATTATTAAACCCTTCTTCTACAAATCCGCATTGAACACCCATTTTCTCACAGACAACATCCATTGCCTCTCGATACAAATCACTTCCGAACATTTCGAGTTTTGACTTTTCTGCCCATTCCTTCATCACATGTTCCGGTGTCTTGATCGAGGCGGACCAATTGATTGTCGAACCACCTCCGACCGTGGACCCCGCAAGAATCACTACGTTCGTGTCAGACGTTGCTAATAACCCACCGGATAAGTACATATCATCCATTGCTTGCCCTTCAAGTAAAGAAAGTTTGCTTCTTGCATAGTAATTCCCTGACTCCACCACCAATACTTTATAACCCGCCTTGGCTAAAACTCCAGCCACTACTCCTCCACCGGATCCAGACCCAACCACCACAGCATCACACCGGATTGTCATCACCGGATCAGAGATAGATGATCCGTTTGTGATCCTCTTTTGAGTTGAAACTGTGAATCCATGACCGGTTAACTTCTTTTCCACGGATTCTCTAGGGCTTTTGAGATCGATGATGCCATTGTAAAGTGGTCCAAAGATCTCCTCAGGTTTCTTCTTCTTCTTCTCATTTAGTTCTACTTCATGATCACTATGATCAGAGCTGGGTCCATCGTAACCTATTGCTTTCCACGCCAAGTTCCTACCGTTTTCATCAACCTGAATTTTATTAAATCATTAGAAATTTAATTCTTTTTAGTAGTTATATGGTATATCAAGTTGAAAAGTTTTAAATTGCAATCCCTTTAAAAAAGAAAAAAAAAAAAAAAAAAGGTGACAAGTTTCATGTTTCCCTCACGGATTTTCATTGGGTAACGAGTTTCTTTGAAGAGGAATTTTCAACAGGTCCACCACACGTAAATCCTTGGGCCATATAGACCCCTTTACCATATATGGTCTAAGAAGATATTTTGCATTTTGGACTCAAAATTTCAGAATCACTAGTACTATATTCAAAGTCATCACCAACTCACTCATGTCCTTGACTTCATGGTTAAATTCTTCTATGTAAAACTAGTTCCATTTTCTAATTTACTCATACTAGTTAAAGTGAATAAAATGTAAATCTTAAATAAATTGATGTTTAATTAGTAGACTAAGGTTTTAACTTAATATTGCAAACAAATGTGTGAAAATCATAAAACATAAAACTTAAAAGAAACATTATGAGTACGTACATATATGAAAAGTAATAAGAAATTGAAATGAGTAACAAAGATTTGGAGTTTAATTTACCTGAGTGAAGAAGACAAAGGCAGTGATAAGTTTGATGGACCTAAAGAACATTCTAAGGAGTGAGAAATAGCTTGAAGACCAATTCAGCAATATCTCTTCTCTCTGTTTCTCCGGAAGCCGGCAGAATCTCCGGAAGTAAGGAAACTCGCCGGTGAAACTTCTCCGACCACACAAGATTAGACTTCCGATCCAAGTAGAGAGTAACCACAATCCAGCTCTTAGTATCCACTTCTTTGGGTGGTGAAGTCTCTCACTCATCAACCTCGCCGCCTGTTAACGGTTAAGTAATAATTAAAAAGTAATGAAAATAGTATTCAAGAAAAAATATTCGTTCTATTTAACTTTAACCTATAGAAATTTTCATAGCTGGTATATTTAGCATAAAGGTTTCTATATTGGTATTACAGTTGTCTGAAACATTTGAACCCCAAATGTTTTGGTTCATTAGTCAATTATATTTGGATTGCCAACCAGACCATATGCGGCCAAACCACGATTATGGTTAAGCAGTCGCTAATTTGTTATCCCTAAAATTGACTAATATCTAATTCGTTCTTTGAAACTTTTAACAGCGCATATCTATTAATAAAAATGTATCTCCATGTTGACAAAAGTCAAGACCAATTAATTTACACCTACACGATGTAGTGAACAAGGTATGTAAGTTTCAATCTATTTTTACCTTTTTTGCCAATGGAGTTATGACACGAAAAAAGAACAATTGAATTGGTCCTCGGAATAATATTAATACCATATTTATAATAAAAGTTATATGGAACGAATAAATAGTAGCCAAAAGAAAAGGAATTAACAAATTTATTTTTAACAATTAACTTGAGATGGCATCAATTGGCATGCGTGACGATGGAATTTAGGTGTACTTGAAATCTGTCGGCTCTATATTTCACTGAAAGTACTGATTTTTTTGTTGTCATCTAAAGTACCGTTTCTCTTTTTAGCGATGAAAAGTACTGATTCACATGCATGCAATGCAATTTTCTTAAATGTCTTTATCCAACAAATTATATACATAAATATCTAATTGCTAAAAATAAATTAATGTAATCCAATTGTAGATAGTTTAACCTGTAAAAACTGTTGTTTTAATGTTGTAGAAGTCGGAAATGAATCACCTTTGATAAAAAAAAAAGATAAAAAAAAGAGGTTCTACGTTTTGTGAAACAACTACAAATTTCTTTTCAGAAAATGATCCTGATGGATCAAGAAAGATTACAAACCAAAAACCCGTAACTTTATAAATTATGTCCATAAATCATTCATAAACACAAAAAAAAATCAACTGTATAACTAATGGATTGTTACTTATAACATAAGGGAAATGAAAAGCAAAATTAAGTTCATTGATAAGTAAACTATCTTAGCAAACGTATGGCCAAAATAATATAATTTAAATCATCCTAAACGATTTAAAATATTTTGTTTGTGAAAAGAGTTAGATATAAATCTATACAAAATGCATGTATGTAACATATAGTTTTTTGTGCTTTTTGACAAAGCATGTAACATATATAAATGGGGAAGCATATATATGTCTTATGTTATAACTTATCTGTTTTTTTTTTTTTTTGCTAACTTGTAAATTTTATAACTTATATGTGCATGCATGTGTGTATAAATTAGTATAATTGTGGTATGTATATAAATCTCTTTTATATGTGAATGCATGTTTGTATATACAACACTTACGCGGTCAGGAGTTCCGGTCTGAGAAGCGGAGGCGGAGAAATATCCAGCGACGCAATCATCCACGTGTCCTACTCCAGAGCCGTCGATGGAGGATATGAAGGTATCGCAGATCGCAACTAGAGATTCCATCTCACGTGGCGTCAGTGAGTTTGCATAAAACGGCTTCGTTTCATCTCTCTGCCGGAGGCTTCCAGTTTCGACGTCTAATTTGGCCGCCGACGTCGTATCTTTCTGAAGGCAGCTTTTGCTTTGATTCTCCATTTTTTTCAATATTTTAAGTTGTGGCTAGTAAAGTGTATGTCGTGTTTATTTATATAGGGACCAAGGGCTCAAATACAAATACATAATATATATCTATATATGTATTATGTATATGAATTGATACATGAACCATATCAAATAGTTTGGTACCAGCAAGGAAAATTTTGATACCAGCAAGTACACAGGTTTGATCCGAATTGTGTTTTCAAAATTTCATTATTCATAAGATTATCTGTTTAGTTTTTTTTTTTTTTGTGATCTATTTTTATAGAAAACATGGATACCATTCTTAAAAAACGCTAGCCAAATATGTTTACTTTGGTCAAACTTTCTGAAATATAGTCATGAATGAAATATTATCTTACATTTACATAAAAGTTTTAATTGCATATTCTGAATCAGATATTGATATTATAAAGATATATTCACTCTTGCGGATATTTATTTACGAATTCGTATATACGTATATATATATATATATATATATGTGGGTATTAGACCTTTTAGATGGAGTCTAATAATGGGTATTAGGTGGAGCCTAATATTTCATAAAATTTACTTTTTTCTAAATCATATAGATATATGATATATCATGTGGCGGATCTTAGTGTTAAGTTCTATGGACTTCCAACTCAAAACCAATTGGCAATGAGTGGAGTGGCCCATATCCCTTATATATTACTTAGGATCCCTTCCAACTTCCGATGTGGGACATTATGTCCTAATACGCCCCCTCGAGATGATGGCACTTTGGCCATTAATCTCGGAATATTCGGGCTTAGATCGACGGCATCAATTTTGGGTCTTGTCGATGATTGGACCATCTTTGGGTCGGATCGGGTTGGACATGTGTGGATCGGGCTCTGATACCATGTTAAGTTCTATGGACTTCCAACTCAAAACCAATTGGCAATGAGTGGAGTGGCCCATATCCCTTATATATTACTTATGATCCCTTCCAACTTCCGATGTGGGACATTATGTCCTAATACTTAGAACCGATTTTATTGAGATCAATATTATATAAAACATCATATATGAAACAATGGTATAAAATTATTGAGTTACTATCTTGAAAATTAAATTAGGTGTTCTAGTATATTTAGAAAACATAATAAAAATATCCACAGAAAATGGAAGCACGATTTAACCAAAACTGTGGTACAAAACAGAAAGAAGTTTTTGTTCAAAATATAAGAAGAATAGTAAGAAATCACTCAAGTTTGAAAAAGTAAGAAATTGAGAATTTTTTGTGGGTGGTTTAGGGTCAAGAGGGATTTAACGTGTTGTTGGGGTCAACTATAAGATTTTAACCATTTGATCCAATATCTTAGTTAATTTGTTTAACAAATTTTTAAAATATGAAAATTTACTGGGGTCAGCTGACCCCACTCCCTCCTATATAGCTCCGTCCCTGGATATATCATTTATATGTGTGAATATAATTTACTTTGACTTTTTCAGAGTTTTTTTATAAAAGTATTAAATTCTTTACACACCCACTTTACTTGTAGTTTTATATAACTATAGATAATTTACAGAATCACGACTAAGTAGTTCCAACTACGTAAAGATTTGTGTTGCAAGTGATTACGAAGTGATCGTGACGTGATTATCAATAAGTTACATATATGGTTTGGGAAACATTTTAGCAATCATACGGATTCACCTAGTAATGTACATTGGTTGAAATGTCAAAGGGGTATATAAACTTTGCTCTTTGCAACAAATCTATTAAATTAGAGAAGGCAAATTAAATTTACTTATATGGAATATTTAATACTAGTTACTCAGTCTATGTCTATCTATAATAAACTAGCAATTTATGAACCAAAAACGTTGTTTTATAGTATTCAAATTTAAATGGTTTATTTATAATATTATGGTTATAAAAGTAATTCACATATCTTTGTTAGACATGTGTGAATATGTACAAATATGGGAACTCAAAATATGAAAAGGAAGGATAAATCATAATAGCGAATGATTCATAGAACACAAATCGGGTAATAATGTAAGAAAAATTGACAATGTTCATTAATATGATAAAATCAAACAAAGTACAGAGAGATCATGAAAGGACCCAACGAGTGAGTGATCAGGGTATCAACCTGGACCCTTTGAGAAGAAAAGAAAAAAAAAAACCCAAAAGAATTGAATGTAGAAGACAGTACAGTTAACAATACCTGTCCTCCATAATTATATCATTCATTAAGTTTCTGATTCTCCTCCAGATTTAGAGTTTTATCTTCTCCTTTTTTTATGCAAATTATTTGTGCATTGATATCATCGATTGTCCAATGCAAGTTGATGATGTGGTAGATGGAATTTAATAAAAATTTATGATCTCCTATTTTTGAACGTGCTAAATGTTGTTATTTTTTCAGAAGTGTGTATATTTATTGCGTATAGATTAAATTTATTTGAGTTTGTTTGGGAATGGTTACGAGTACTCATCTTGATCGGTTCAGAGTTCTTATACATATGTAGTTTGGGGAAAGATATACCCCATGGTGGGTGCGACGGTTGTCGAAAACTTTGAATTCATATATTCATTATTTCATATAATCATATCTAATCAGAAATGTATTATTACGTTTTTTTTTTTTAATATTTTTAGTATTATATAATAACCACTTCAATTCTTATGAGTGTTTGTTAAAGATGCTTACAAATTTAATGTGTTGTCGCCTGTATGAAATATGAACAAATCGGTAGGAAAATTTCAAATTTTGAACACATATAAGTCCTCTTTGTAACACAAAAAAAAAAGTTTTTAACGGAAAGAAGAAACGACAAGATATATATGAATAGAGAAAAAAAGAAGTAACGGTGGAGACTTTTAGTTGATAATTTATTTGGACTTCCAAAAACAGTGTCATATATATATATGTAATTATGTATAGATTTCTTTTAAACATTTGATTTCTTATGCTTTAATTAGAATACCCATTAAAAAGAAGAAAGTAGCCGTACAACAAGCTAAAAATAACGTTTTTGGTATCGCTAGTTTCAGTGATGAAAAGTTTACCAATCAAAACCATAGGCCACAGGAAGAAAGTAGCCGGGATATATATATTTTTTTTGGCAACATCCAATACCCTAATCATTCAAGTAGGGATCAAGGATGAAGTACATACATCTTGGGTTCGAATGGTTGCGGCGGTTAGAACGGACAAATCTGTTTGCGGTTTGAATTAAACAATTTTTGTTTACCATTCATAAATTATAATCCGTAGTAGTACGGATTGAAAAAGTTAGAACAAGTCCGCGATGGACTAACTACGGACCGGTTTTACGTAGAGATAAACTTGGTCCTCGTTTGTTGTCCGCTCCAAAAATAGAGTGGTTTAGTCCATTAACGGTTTAGTCCGCTTTTCCTATATCACCCATTCATAGCCTTTCATTCTTCTAAAATGTCTTATCCGTTTCCACTCCTAGTTAACTAAGAACTTTTATAAAAAAAAAAAAAAAGTAAGAGAAAAACAATATATGAACAAAAGAGAAAGTGAAACTTTGCTAAAACATTATACACATACACAACATACAAAGTTTATTTTGTTTTGGGACAAAACCATTAACTCAATGTGACCCATTGAGCCTAGAGAGCAAGAAGAGACAAGCAGAAGAAAAAAAGATAGAAACAGAGATACATAGCAAATCCGTGACAGAAGTTATGACTATTTTCTTGCTCTTGTCAAACAAACCAATCAATAGTAGCATCACTATTACATGTCCCAGCTTCGTTTTCAGCTGGCTCACCGATTTCACCTCTAACCATTGAGGTCGCTCCTGGAGAACAAACAAACCGTTGGAGAAGTCTTAGTATGAACCAAAAATGAGATCTTGATGAATTATGTAAGTGGAGAAGGGTTAAGAAAAAGGAGAAACCTTTAAAGTGAACATGCCAAAGAGACTCGACCTATTGGAAACAATATCGTGAGAGCGCGACTCTGAAGTGTCGAGATTGCTAATGAACAACTCGTAAAGTCCCAGTCCAAATACCAACATCACAGTTCCTAGGAGATATATATCTACAAAAATTCATATACATCATCAGCATCACATCAATAAAGTTGTGGGCATATAAATGTTCTTAATCTGAAACATAGATAAACTCTCTCACGGTCTCACCTATGGCCTCAACCAAAAGGAATATCACCTTCCCACGATTCACCGAATACTGCAAAAACGAGTCTACAACATACATACATCCCTGCAAAAAATAGTATGATGTGTTTCTTCTGTGACTTGCAAATAGAAAGATATTTTAACACTCTGAAGAATAAAAAAAATTAGGACATTATCTGCTATTACAAGACAGGAGCTAGGTTATGCATATTCCACACTGTCTCATCTAATTGTAGTTATAAACCAGAAAAAGCAAGGAGATAATGTGCAGTGGCTTTACCTTGATGAAACAGAGAACCGATCCGAGCAAAGATCCTAATGTTCCAAGAAACGTCATAAATCGACAACTATAAATGACCTGAAAAATTTCACGAAATTGTTTTAGTAAGTTTCCAAGATTTTGTCTAACATCAATCTATTACAAGATCTTTGGAATCAACTCTTTTACCTTAAAAAAAAAAAACCTAAAAATCTCAGCTTTAAACTATGAACAGAACCATCCAAATCCCTAAAACAAAACTCAGCTTTACCAAGATTTTGTATCGATTATCAGAAATCTGAAACCAACCCAATTACCTTCTCAATCCCCTCTTCTAAAACTTCAAATCTATTCGCAGAATTCGATGTTACAGCTACAGACGTAGACGTAGACGCAGAGCGCGAAGAGAGCAATCTTCCTGGAGACCTATAACTCCAACGCCAAGCAGAGCTCGTAACCGTCTTCGTTGTCCTCAACGGTAATTTCAAGCCACGAGAGTTTGATATAACAACCCTCTTCTCAATCGGAACAAAATCTCGAAACCCGTTGAAGATCAATCCCGAAGACGATGGTGCGGCGATAGCATTTGCGTTAATGGTCCGGCACGGCGTCGTCATGGCTGCTTTGAGTCGGAAGAGTCGTGGTTGAGTCAACCAGGTGTGGAACTCGGGGGAGGTTAAAAAAAGAGAGTGAGAAGGAGAGACGTGTCAGGAGATTGTGATCGCGCCGCCGTGAGTGGAGGAGTTACTTGTACGGTCTCTTAGAGATCCACTTGGACGGTAATAATGAACACTTTTAATCACGCGGGTTTTTTCAACAAATATCTTTTAAACAATCTAAACGCAGACGTGGTTTTGGACAAACGCAATCACAGACAAAAAAAAACGAGCCACTTGAACCTTTTTTTTTTGTAGCATACCCATCGCCCATCGATCGAAATTATCTCGAGATTGAGAGAAATTTTGGTATTCAAATTTCATTTGTTTCACAAAAAAGCTGATGCGTGAAGTTTTAGCTCTTACAAATCTATGTAGATCAGTTTGATATGTGACAATCACAAATCTAGTTTTATTACTTACAACGTTAGTCTATCAGAAATCATTACTCTTTTTTGCTTGTGATGGTTCGATTCAGTATTTTGCATCACATATTCACATGATTACATGAATGCATATGGAACCAGTCAATCTTTACCTTTTTCTTTGTGCTAATGTTCTTGCCTTCAACATCCCATTACTTATGCTGGATGTTTCTTTATTTTTTTGCAAATGTTCTTGCCTTTAATGTTTGCGATATTCACGGTCACGGAACTTCTTTTTCTAACATTCTCAGATGCAAAATATATAAAATTAAATTATTCGATGATATTTTGACATTTTGGAAAAGAATTTGGAATTTGTAATAATGCTGCATAAGTGCATAGTCAAAAAGTGTAGCAGAAAAACATGTAATGGGAATTGTCAATTTCAAGATGGAGAAAAAAAAAACTGTCGGCGCCGTATGTGACTGCAAAATACCATAATACATTCACATTCATTACATTGGTCTAAAAGCAATACAACGAAATAGACTGAGCACATTTGTCTATTATCACAGAAATAGAATCATATTCTTACTTTTATATTTTTAATCAAGAAGAATTTCAACGTGAAAATTTGGTGACCATTATAATATTGTTCACGAATATAAATATATAATAACAATCTTCTGAATATCCCTTGTTCTAACTTTTTCCGAATATTCCGATATATAAAGAGCAGTAGAGGTTATTCATTTTTGATCAAAAAAATGGGACTGTAATACTTTATCAATAATGGAGCATTTCAGGTAAAGTAGTTAATTTTATTATTCTTTTTCGCCATTTCTTAATTCTTATATACTACTTATTTCTTTAATGTGTGTGTTTTTTTTATTTGGGTCAAGATTTATTTCCTTCAATGTTTTTTTTTTTTGATAAAAATTTTTTTTTTTATTTCCTTCAATGTTAAGGCGCTCTTTTTCAAGTTATACAACTTACTATCTATAGTACTACATTAAGAACAATTACAGATACTACCATACTACCATACTTATTGTAAGAATCTAATTATCAAAAGTTGGGTCATTTCACGTAATTTATGCTATAAATAAATTTGCAAATATATGACATGTTTAGATTTCAAAAGAAATCCTCTCAAAAAAAAAAAAGATTTATGATTTACATATTTCTCATAATTAGATGTTTGTTCTAGATGGAAAACTATCATTTGTTAATTTATCACCCATATATCAATTTGAATAAAAATATTGTTTGACATATTGTGGATTAAATTGATTTACATGTCAGCTAAATAGTGTAATAGAAAAATAGTCGAGTCATTGAATAACAAAAAAAAACTGAATTTTAATAAAATCTCGTGGAATAAAGTGTTTTATAGTTTTTACACGCTTGTAATTATATAGCGGACATTTTTTAAAAACGTAAAAAAACGAAAAATAGATGAATATTCTGAATGATAGAAAAACAACAGAAACGCGAAAATGATATACTATTTATAATCTATATATATCACAATTTTTTAACCGTAAATGAGAACGAAACTTTACAGAATTAGATAAAAATGAAGATACACTCATGCATCATAAACTTATATTATTTAGTTGTATATCATGCAACGTCATAACTCATAAGCTAACATATGTTATACGGAATATAATGAAACTGGTAGCTTTTATCATAGGAATAACATTCGTTCTAAGTAGGAAATTTATTAATTGATACAACAGAATCATCAATTTTACCGAAGTGTATCTCGTTACACAAAATGGCCCATAAACAACAACTTTGAAGTAATTCATCTTTCCCTTTCGATCTAATTGACATCTACTGTGAATTAAGACATCATCCTCAGAATCACGCAGTACCCAAGCTACACCACAAATGCTTTTATCTTTATTCAAGTCCTCTTTGATCTTCAGTAGAAAGTCATTAATAGTGAAAGCCAAACTTTCAAAGAAGAGGTTATTTTTGTTCTTCCACAACGACCAAAACGTCCAAGGAGAGAATCTTTGCAGCACAAGCGATACCATAATATTCTTGCACATTAACAAGACATAATGCATATTTAAAAATATAGACCGCGGATCAAAACTATCTTCTGGTAAAGGAGAACCGGATAAAATTCAAATCTGTCTTGCCAAGATACAAGTGAAAAAGGACATGGTTGATAGATTCACCTTCTAAGAGCATCTCCAATGGCTCAATTTTTGGGTTCTCTCAATGGTTTCTCTCAGCAAATTTGTGAAAAAATAATTCAGAAACAATTTTAATGGAGAGAGCTGTCTCTCTTGTGAGAAACTTTAGATGAGATGAGAGACGTGTACGTGTCACGTTCTAATTGGGCGTTTTATTTGACAAAACTGAAAAGAAAAAAAACGCGTCGAAAAAAACCTTCGTTTTCTCTCGATACGCTCTCTCTTTCTTTCTCTCTAGCGAAACAAAACCAAACGATGGCGAAGGTGACGGCGACGGAGCCGGAATTTTGCTCCGAAGATTGAGGTTCAATTGAAGCAGTCGATATCAAGGTCGAGCAGTGGTTGGGCCGATTTCGTCATTTGTAGAGCCGGTGGTCATGAGCGCCGGTGAAAGATGAATCAAATCAGAGAATCGATGACGAAGCTCGTAATTGGTAAGAATCTACTTCTTTTATGAAGTTTATCATGATTTAATTTAAGGAATTTGATGTTCGTTTTAAGGTTTTTGTTCTAAGCATCGATAAGTGGTTTTCTAAATACATTGGACGTTATGTGTTTGTTATTTGGTATGATTGAAGTGGATGAGTCGTTGAATGTTTGATTTAGGGTTCATAGTTTCTGAATCTCAATCTCTCTTGCTTCTCCGGTGCTCTCTTCTTCCACATGGATTTATGTTCTCTCTCGCCAGGAATCTCTGCTTCAGTTTATTCTCAACACATAAGGTAGAAACTTGTTCTAAAATGGGTTATTTGGTGTTTCTCTGTGTTGTGTAACTGATTTTGAGCTCATAGACGATTTTTAATATGTTAGCTTGTGTTTGTTATTTGGCATTGCTTTGATGGTTGGAGCTGAGGGATGCATTGTTGGTGTGGATCATATCCCGGAATTGGTTAAGCTCAAATTTTTGTTGGTTGTGATTTGCAGTTTTCATGTGTAATGATGCTTGGGATGAGTTTGAGGACCAATAAACAGAGAAAAACACATAGGATGGACCTGAGATTCTCCAAAACGTGAAGAGGGTGAATGATTTGCAGTCTGCATATTTTTGAATGATTGTACACCCTCCTTTTCTCTATATATACAACACTTCTTCTTGTTATTGTTATATCAAAACACAACACTTCTTGTAGATCTATCTTGTATAGGCTAAGTAGGAGACAAGACACTCAAATCAAAATATGTGTAGATCATGAATCTTTCATTTGCATTTGACAAGTTTTTGATGTGATTATGAACTATTGAAACACCAATTACACCAAACACAAATGACTCCAATTATTTTTTACTAATTCATCAAATTACATCAAAACCAAACATCAAATTACATCAAAATCAAAATATTTTCAAAAAAAAAAAATTCTAAGAACCCACTAGAGAAACTACCATTGGACTAAGAAAATTTTAAAAAGAAAAACACAAGTTCTCATCTAAAATTTTTTTTAAAAATACTCTCACTATTGGAGATGCTCTAACCCACACACAAATTTTTACAGTAACCCATTTTTAGAAGAAAATATAAATAATTAAATATTAACAACCAGGATAACTTTTAGATTAAAAAGTCAAAAAAGTGGGAGACGCAGAAGAAGTCCACGTGACAAAAGTACAGATCACGCTCACGTGGTTTACGAGCGTAAGTAAATGGCTTTTTCCGTAATTTCACCAAAAGAGAGGAAAAAAAATCTAATCTTAAGGTCGGAGAATTCATCTTCTATCATCCAACAGTGTGAAAGCGAAGATCTCTTCTAAGAGAACACGTGTCGGAAAATGAGTGGTCTTAACCTGTATTAAATACCCTACAGCTGAGGCTAAGGTTGTCTCTGCTTGATAGGGTTCCTCCTTATTACATCATAAACCATTCTCTGCCTCATTTCCCCATTACAAAACCTAAATCTCCTTCTCTCTTCTCTCTTCTTCTAAAGAGAGAGACTATGATATGAGTCTCACCGTCGGGCTCGGATTCGCTTGGTGCAGGTCGGGAACCAATTCGGCTGACACAGCCTCGTGACTTAAAACCTTTATTGGTTTGTGAGCAGGGATTGGATCCCGCCTTGCATCAACTGAATCGGATCCCCGAGGTGTAAGAAAACTTGTGAATCCAATCAGATCTGGAAGATTTCTACTCTTCTCCTTCTTTATTTTCGTTTTCTTATGGTTTTACTTTTGATATAACCTTGAAAAAGGTTTTTGTATCTTTGAATCTATTTAAAATTGTTTGGTTTGAGATATCTGATATTGATTTTGACCCCTTTTTTGTATATTGAATCTTCTTGATCTCTGTTTTTTTTTGCCCAAATGTTGAGTCTTTGATTTAGTTTTGATTTTATAGACCATTGATATTACCTATGTTTTGAAAAGTTAGAATTTGTTTGATGTTTGAGGACTTTTGAATTTAAGATCTAGGGTTTGATATGTTAGAGATTGTTGATGTGATTAGTTCTAGATTTATTAATCTGTTGTAATAGTTAATTCGTACGATCTTATTAAGATTTGATTTCAAGGAGAAGAGATGACGATTTGTTTTATTGTGGATAGGTTTCCACGATGAGATTCATAGTTTCGATTTTTATTCGTAAAAGGTAACAGTCAAATCTCAGTGACCTAATTTTGTTTTGTTGGGTTTTGTGAAGCAATCTATTGCCCCCTACCGGTTTAAACCGGTTTTGCTCTTTATTTTGATAATTGTGGAATTACGAATTAACAATTCACTGTGTGCGACTGTTGTAGATGACAATGATCATGTTAGTTATGCAAAGAGATGAAGAGAGGTTTTATTGGAGGCATGTGAAGTGAAGATATTTTTTTTTGTTGGATGTTCAATTTTTTTTGTATCTATTTTTCCATTTTTGGATATGTAATGTTCAGAATTGTTAAAGAAAACAAATGGTGTGGAAGTAAAGAAACAGAACCAATTCGATTAGTACCGTTAGTGCAGAATAAATGCAAGTAATGATGGTACTCATGGTAGTGGAAAACAAACGTAACAAAACAAAAAAAGTTTAAATGTAACTTATAAAGTTAGTTGGTTGTTTGGTGATTATATATTTAACTAGTATGGAGCCCGTGCTCTGCACGGGAAAAAGTATCTTATCTATGTGTGAGCTATAAGCATGCGATACTAATCTTCCTCCACATGTATAATCCAAAGTTCTCGGAATGAGAAATTGAAATATAAGATTGTTGGCAAAAATAAAGAAATAAGTGTGAGTTACAGAGAAAATCAAGCAAGGAAAAAATGATAGAAAGTAAAATAGCAAATAACCTTTTATCTGCTTCTCCAAAAAATACTTTGTAATCAGAGAGAAGAACAACACAACAAGATTGTAATCAAAGCAAAACTTGGATGAGTCAAAAATATTTTTTGATAAAAACACATAGGTAGATGAAGAATAAAGAAAGAAATTTTCCAGATTTTGAAATTAATTAGCTTCTAGGCGAAGAAGAGAGAAATAGAGATCGTGGAAATGTGGAATGTGTGGGAGTAAAAATAGGGAACAGTTGCAAAAGAGAATCTCTAATAAAGAAAAAAAAACTGAAGGAAAAAAGATTTTGTGGAGATCGTTAATGACAAGGTTTTTTTTTTCTTTAATTTTAAACAAAATCTTTTCATTAAAAAGAAAGAGTAAAAAAAGTGTTGTAAGCTGATGTGTCAATTAGAGAATGCGTCAGTTATTGAAAAAGTGACTGCTGATTTAGTAGAAATAGATATCTAAATTGCTTGTTTCAGAATTCAGACTATGCATTTCATATATATTGCGGATTAATGTTTTACCTTTGTTATTGTCTTGTACTACCTTTTGTTTCTTTTACACACTTTTTAGTTGGAATCTCTAATATATAAATATGTATGTATGTGTACGTATAGTATCAGAAAAAGTTAAAAGATTATGTGCCCAAGTCTAATGATAGTTGGATTTGAGCGTTTTCGTCAAAAGGTTACCAGTTTCGTCAATGGCAGGTCCCTTATTTTCAGCTGCTCCTCTTCAGTCTTTTTTTAATGTATTTTGAAACACTATAATAATAATAATATAAGTAGATCAATTGTGCATGATCTTATGATAGTTGCGGGTTTCATCTCTTTTGATTTCGGCTTTAAATTATCTACTTTGTAGTTTTATTGTCTTTTAATTCCAATGTAGTTTCCAGAGAATTCACTTTTTTCTCCGACTTATGTTTCCGGGGAATTTTACTTTTTTGCCGGCTTAGCTTCATTCTTTTGGACGTTTGGTTTTATGTAAGGTTTCATCTCAAGTTTTAGTAAAAATTTATAGATAAAAAAACCATCTTATGATAGTTGTTACTAGAAAATATTTTTCTCTTATAGAGATGAATGTTATATGTTCACGTGTTTTTGTTCACGTGTTCACGATGTGAAAACGTAATTCTGTTATTTTTTATCATTGAAAATATTCATCAAAATTTCACGTTTTTCACGTTTTGCAATAATAATCTTGCTATATATTATTGGCATGTTAAAAATATAAATAGAAAAATCAAAATGTGATTAATCTACTAAAATTAGCTTTTCGAGGTTATCCAAAAAGGAAAAAAATTTGTTTTCTAGCGATTAATAATTAATTCTACAAAAACTTTATTCAGTTCATTCCGTTCCGATAACAATTGTTCAGTTATCTTGTTATTCCGCTATTTTTCTGACATACCACTATAAACTTTGTTCATCTAATTATTTGTAAGATATGTTAAGCATGCTATTTTTTGTCACAGATTTTTGATATGAATAAATTGAATCAACTTAAAATCAATAGAAACAACAACAACAAAATATCATTCCTTTTCTATTTCTTAAAACAAATCCAAACCAATTCAAAACACATCCTAGTGTAGTGAGTAGTGGCCGATCCAAAATTATTAAGTTTGGAATTATTATGCTCTGTATAAAAGGAGGTAAAGTATAGATGATGAGCAAAATGTTGGAAATTTTAGAAACAAAAAAACAAGAAAGCATCATGTGATTCAAACTTTGTTCTTGTCAGAGTCTCTGAAGTTTCACTTTCAAGCACAAACCCAACCTCCATGTTCTGTACAGAAGAAACTTATGGTTACAAGTCAGGGCATCTAATCTTGTTTCTTCTTTTCTGGATTTTTCTCTTTCTTATTTTTGGCAAAAAAATAATAATATTTAACTTAAATATTTCTCAAAAGAAAATATAGGTTTAAACTCTCTTACAAGGTATATATGATTTCCGATAACTTAATTTAAATGGTGTTTGATGAAAAAAAAAAAAAAAAAAAGGTATATATGATTAGTCTGGATATTAATTGAAGTTCAAACAAAAGGAAATTTCTTTTAAAAAGTTGAAACAATAATTTCTTCATTCTCTGATTTCACATATTGTCCTTGACCATATCAGCAAGAAGGATAAGATAGAGAGATCTCGCTTCTTCAGCTGATCATATTGACTGAATTTTTTTTGGGCTTTTTAATCTTCTGTATACTTCTCTAAGATGGTTTACCTATGTTCTGATCTAGGTTCTTGATCAGCAATCTCTTGTCTAATCATATTGATGATAATCTGTTCTCACACAACATAATGGTTCTGAAAGGGACTCTCACTACTGAATGATAATTGCAGGGTGTGTCCACTATGTCGTCTAGGCGACAACATTTGCAAACATGGTCTCCACTACCCGAAACAACACTGATGACTGTGACATGAAACTTGAAGCTTTCTGATATCTAAAACCAACAAGCTTTCAGGACTGGAACTGAATCAAAACGAGTGTATATGCTTGGGAAGGGTTGTTCACAGGCTTGTTCCAATTGAGTTCTGACTTTTCTAGTTCTAATTTCTAAAAGATGAGATAAAATGAAAAAAACAGTTATTGAAACTCAAAGATCCTTCACAAAACATAATCAAAGCTGGTTACATTGATAACAGAGAATAACGTAGATACTCGTGATTTCGCAAATGATGAAGCTAGAAGTTTTTCCGACTCAGCTGCGACGCAAACTGATCAGCTGCAGCCATAGCTTGAGAAGCTGAACCAATTGATCCATCATATCTGCAAGAAGAACCCATAACCATCTTAATTTTGGACTGAAAATGTAAGAAGAAGATATGCAATTGAACAGAGAGTGCAGTGCACTCACAGAGCAACCAAGACGTAAACCGCAGTCTGCATAACAATAGCTCCTTCACCAGCAGGCTGGGAAGTGTTTAAACACCGAGCAGCGAACCAATTCTCATGAATTGATGTTATTATGTCTGCAGATTCCAAGTCCTATTATTAAACCACAAATACTCTCCAAGCAAAAGAAAAAAGCAAACAAACAAACTTTTACATTGATTGGATCCAAGAACAAAGGTCTCAGTAGGAAGATTGCCACGTCTCATGAAATCGATAAATTGCTTTAGATCAACTGGATAGAGATTAATCCCTTCTTGTTCAGCTCTGCAAACAACTCAAGATTAAGTGAATCTGATTAAAGTCAGAATATACAAAGCATACATCAAAGTTTCCAACTTTTACTGCAAATACCAATCTAAAGAACAACCTTAAGCAGAAACAGAGAGAAGTAGATTTTGAACTTGATGAATTAGCTTACATTGTTGATAAGAGACGGGAAGGTCCTGTAGGATCATAGTTAATCAAAATAGCAGCCTTCAATGGATTGCCTGAACAAAATTCAGAACTCAAATCACCAAAAGGAAGATTCTTTTTTCTTTTTCCTTTCTGGGTTCTTCTTCTTCTTTTCAAAATCTTACCCAAACTGCAAAACAAGAACCCTAATTGAGAGAGAACTTACCTGAAGAGCCAACGTTACCCGAAGTAACCCATTTGTCCCAAGCTCTGTCCACAAACGCCGAATCCATCGATGCGTTTCGAAAATTTTAATAAAGCAATGATTTTTAGGGTTACTAAACAATTGAGAGAATCAGAGCACCAAGAGTTTCTCTAGTATACAGTCTCTCTCTCTCTCTCTTGAAATTCGTATACATTTGAAAACATTTCAGATAAACTCGATTTAATACAAAAAATTAATCTTGAATCAAAGTAAAAAGATACTCTTTATTCAAATAGCAGTGATTATTGATCCGATTTGGAAAACAAATCCAAAATGTTCGAGAGATCTTTTAATTGAGATTAAAAATTAAACATTTAGATGATTCTAGTCTTCAGTTGAAATTGCAGGACAAGTAGGATTACAAGTCGGCGACGGACAATCTATCTTCTGAAATGCACTCCGACCATAAAACCAGTTTCCGACTGCTTTCGCAATTCTCTGCAAAACAAATCAAAATCAGAACTAAAATCGAATTGAAAAGATTTTAAAGTATTGGAAGATTGAATTACCGTATTAGCGACTTGGGGACCTTTGTCACCGGACCAAGAGGCGGCGCTTCCGCCTTGGCAATGAGCGTGACACGAGTCTAAGAACAACCCTCTCGACGGTGTACTGTGAACCGGTGATAATGCACGCATCATCTGATCTCTAAACCCTGAAATGTTTAAATCAACCCGGTTTATTCTAATTTATCACTAAACCAAACCACTAAATCTTGATAAACCGAACTGATCATATCCAAAAACCATACCAAATTTCAGAACTAAAACCACCAGGTATAAACCGGGACAATCTAAATATACCAAAATCCGGTTAATTACCTTGGACGGTTTTGAGCTGAGCGGCACTACATTTCTTGAGATCAAGCTTACAATTCTTCCATTGTTTTCCCTTATCAACAGCAGTCGGAGCCAAAACGTTCTTGATCTGAAAAAAGAATCATCAAATTCGATAAATGTATCTGATTTGTGTATTTTTATAATGAAATGAATGTTTTTGTATATATCAAAAAATGTATATCATGTTTGTTTATATATCGGACCTGCCAGGAATCGAAGGCGGCGTTGATGACAAAGAGCGGTGTTCGCATGGAAGGAACGACATATTGCGGGAAGAAACACTGCGAAAAACGATCAAAGAAGTCGTTAGTATCCGTCCATAGATGGAAAAAAGTGACAAGATCAACAATGTTGGGATGTATAGTTAAGTACGTACGAGTTCTGGTTTCATTTTTGAGGTGCAAGAAACAGGAAGACTCTTTGCAGATCCCTACAAAAAGATTTCAAGCAAGACTGACTTTAAAATTATCATCATGATTTAAGAGAATGAACAATTGAGAGATATTAAATAAAGAGTTATACGTGAAGCGCGACGACTTTGCTGTAATACGATTCGATGTATGATCCTCCTGTGATATCTTTACTGTTACATGAAATCCAATTCAGTGATAATAATCAGATGATTAATAGTTGACATTATATGTACCCTAATTATATGTACACTTACCCATGGATAAAGTAACCGGCGTCGGAAACACATTTGACACTAGCTGTTCGGGGAAGTATGGCCCGGAAAGTGTCACAATGTAGAATCGCGGCCAATGCTCCGGCTGAACAACCGGAGAGTATCGCCTGAAAAGTTTTATCTCTAAATTAGTAAACAGTTAAGAATTTTTACTTTGATACAAAAGAAAGAGAGATGTTATAATATGAACATATAATATACGTTTTGAGCGTTTTTCATTCCTTTAGCCATAAGATCATCAATCACCGCACGCCAAATTCGGGCACCGCGGAAGAACAGTTTGTTCGCCTGAAAATATTCAAAGTTCCAATTAGTAAACCTACAATTTTTAATAGGAGAAATTTAAAGTACTTAGGAAAAATGTGAATTTTGGGTCTAAAAATAAAATTTATCCTCATAAATATCAAAATTTAGTCACTAGATTACCGGATTAACGGCTTCTACATTGCCGGTAAAGGATGACCCATCACAATATCGTACTTTGATTCTGTTCCAATTGTAAAAATCTGAACAAAAGAAAATGATTTATAATAAAAATCAAGACAGATTCAACACCATTAATCTATTATAACTCTCCCACAAATCTCTGGATCATTAGAAACCAAAAAAAAAGTTAAAATGAAAAAAAAAAAAGTAGAAAACAAAATTAGTTTAGACCTGGGTTAGTGCTTTGCTTGCCACCCAAGATACCGGAAAATCCAAAGTCTTTGTTCATGAATTTGGACGAACCCTTCATTGTACCCTTACGTTCATTACATGAAGCGACGTCGGTACACCATCCTCCTCCCTAACATATAAACACCATTTACACTTCATTCAAATTTGATTCAACTAACTCTACCTGATTTGTATATTACATTTCTTTTCAGTCAAATATTATTTAAAAAAACATTAGATGCGAACGACAAACGCCGCAAATTTTTTAACTTTTTACTAATCACACAACTATAAAGAACTACCATTTATATTCAGTCATTTCAACGACAAAAATATCAAGTGGTCCAGAAATTTGCAAAAACAAAAAACCAAGTTTCTTTACCTCCATGTGGACGATCCAATTGTTAACACCCGAACCAAACCCTTTGTCGAAATGATAAGCTGGTGCACTCCCATCCAAACACACTACATAATAAATATATATGTATATATATATATATATATATATATATATATATTAACTTATTGAATAACTTATTGAATTATCCGATATAATGCAATTGTGTAAATATGAATATAAGTATATGTAAACCGTTGTTGCATATTACCGGCTCCTTTAGCAACGGCGCTTTGTAGATAAGTGATGGGAACGGCTCCGGTTCCGATCACCACCACTGCCAACACTAGCAAACTTGACCAACATTGCTTAAGCCTCCCCATTCTATAACAAACAATTTTTTGAAAAAAATAAATAAACAAGCTTACGATTTAGTTAAACTTTTCAATATAATATAATAATACATTTATAATGCGAATATTACTGCTTGAATATGGTAACATGCGGACGACTGACAAATTTATTCATTTTGAACTTACCTACATTTTCGAGTGGATAATAATTTTTATAATTATACTATTATAGTAATCCACTGTTTTAAGATTCCACGAATCCACGAATCCACGTTATTACAAATTGGAAATTTAGACTATTAAAAAGTAGATCACCAGAAATGTGATTACTAGCCAGTAGCCAGGAACAAAACAAACAGAAAATGACATCCATCGTCCATGTGCGTGTTTAAATATCTTATAGCTTTTCTCAGACCAACTTTTTTAGTTGTCTGTAACTATTACCTTGCTCCACTAAACAATTACTATCATTACAAATCTATCATAATCCATTACAGTTTAACATTGCTAATCGCTATTATGGGATGTTTGTATTTTGAGATACCAAAAATACCCTTTCACATCATCTCAACTTTTACTATGTAAGAAAATCATATGATCCTCTTATTCATATTCAACTTGTTGGATCGCAGAGAAATGTGTTGAATCATATCAAATTATCAATTCCCGAAGTAACAGCTTCGATGTCATTCACATTAATGATAAGAAATTCATTAATGGCAATATATAGTTATAACTAACAAGACTAAAACCAAATATTCAATTATATTTTGTATTATAATGAAATGATAACAATCTGAGTGTACATATCAAACTTGCAAAACTATAAAAAGGTTACAATACGTTCAAAAAAAAAAAGAAATTCACAAAAATGATGGATACCTTGTGAAAATGGAGTCCTCTAAATTCTTGTTTGGTTAGAGAGAAGAAATAAGTTTTGTTTTTGGTGTGTTAATGAGATGGATAGAGAGGAATCTGAAAGAGGGAGAGAGAGAGCTTTAGAAGTTTATGGAAGCCAGCCATTGTTGTCTTCTTCATTATATAGATCCATCCACAAGTTGCAAATAAAAATCAAACTTTTTTCTTTAGCATAAAAAATCAAACTTTTTCTTCTTTTGAATTTGTTTTTTATTTATTCTTTTGCTTTAATTTGCATAAAGTTTTTTCTTTTTGTAAGATTCTTGTGGCATAGCGTGTACATGTGTTAGTAGATTCGCCAGGTTATCCAACGTCAAGAAACTACGTTGTGTAAGTTTTTTTTATAATCAAATGTGTTTTAAGAGATTGGTTCTTTTATTAAATAATTTTAATCGACTCAATAACACGATTTAACTAGTTTAACCAATTGATAAAAAATAAAAATGATTATTCTCAGACCTTGAGAATACTGATTATGCATGTTTATTTAGATATTCAGTTTTAAAGTTATCATCAATCTAATAATATGCGTCATTTTCACCTAAACTTTTCACATTCGTGTTATAATAATTTATCCTAGCTTGTTATCTTTGTAAAATATAAATCTGTGACCACAATTAAATAAGAAAGAAAAAGTATGGTTTGGCACGAGGACTAAAAGTGTCGGTGCATTGCACACCGAACGAGTTAGCTGCGCAACAGCCAAAACATGTTAGAGATTTATCGTAAAGTAACAAAATTTAAAAGTCAGACCTCTCCGTTTGATCTTTTTATCATAACACGAGTGTTTAATAGATAAATTAAAATACTAATTCGTTAAATTTTACGAACTAAAAGGAATAATTGTTAATTAAGGAAGCTACATGGATAAATCTCAATTGAAATTCTTTATCATTGATTTTCTCAGCTTTCTCGGGAAAATGATCGATCCGAAACCGCGTGCAAATAATACAGATAGCATCATTGCATATGGGTTTCGCATAAAACATAAACAATAGAAAAAAGTTAAGATTCGTAGCAATAAAAATGTATATTTCTCATATTTTCTTTAGACAGTATGACCTCAATTAATGTTACGACTTACGAGTTCCTGAAGATTTTAGAAAATTTGAAACCATTCAAATATTCAATTATGATAGGGACAAATGCAAAGGAAAAAAAAACTCCAACAAATCTTTGTTTCATGTGAAAAAAGGAGCCCAACAAAAATCGTGGTACTAACTAAAACCTAAATCTTTTTATTTAGTGCAAATTAAACTCTAAACTCTACAAAAATTTAAAATTCGTAGTACTATAACTAACATTTATATTTTTTGAGTTTAAATTTTATTTTAAACAGTAGTACCTTAACGTTAGGAGTCCCTCAAGATTTTAGGAAGTCTGAAACAATTCAAATAAAATGGAAATGTATTTTGTGAAAATTGTAAGAACCAATATTATTACGACAATGCAATCAATAAATGTAAAAATAATTGAAGATCAAAATTTGATAATACAGTACCAAATCGTAAAGATGAAGTATAATTGTAGAGGCGAAACATCATATTAAACCAAAATCTTCAAATTAAACCAAAATCTTCACAAATCTCACAAATTAAACCAAATTTTCTGTTAGTATTCTCCACCACGAACAAACGAAGAAGAGAGGGGAAAGATTTTGTATGTGTGTGTGTTCGATAATATAAATGAGAAAGCAATGGCTCGACTATATAGCCAAGCTCAACGTCCAAGCCATAAAGAGATGACCTTAATGGCAAAACTGTGACAATTAATTCGCAACTTTAATTGTTTTTATTGATTTTCTGTTGTTACAAAATTCAGTCAAAGGAGATATTAGTTGATTTTGTCAACAAGATAATTCAAAATAAATTTTGGGCAAATATAATCTATGAATTAGTTGTTTTTTTTCTCTAACTTTCATACTTCAAATTTATTTTTATAAGATTTTCATTCAAAAATCCATCTCCTAAATCACAAAAGATCAAATCAGTAACCACGGTGAAAAACGTTGTCTTTGTAAATATTGAGTATAGTAGTTCTGTTTTTTAGCGTTTGAGAAATATGAAAAGATTTATCAATTTTTTTTCTTTTTTTCTGTAAACCAGATTTATCATATTTAAAATATGAAATTGGACCTATATTAATTCAACCAAAATGAAAGAAGTGTAAAGGCCCAAAAATGTAATAGAGAGTTGGTTTTGGTATAAATTGGTCGTCATGTAGACCTCAATGGTTTTACCAAGCATATCACCAAACATTTTGTTAACCAGTTTGTGATAGGTTGTGCCGACATTTTTCATCCCGAATAACATCACTATGTAGCAATATGTTCATTTATCAGTGATGAAGACCACTTTTTGGTCGATAATATCTACATATACTTTTCATTTGCTCTTTTTCTTATCACCATTACTTGATTGGTCAACCATTCGAGGTACTAAAATTTTATTATCAAGTTTGTCTTAAGGAACCCATATACTTTGTCATGTACTGCTTACGCACAATCTAGATCGAGTATTTGAAGATCCTTGCAAATGTACATTTCGCTCTCTATTTCTCACTTTTTTTTTTTTTTACTTTGTTTATGATTCTGTAGAGATCGTGATCCAAAATGCCAGATTTGGATCGTGATTTTTTTTGGAAACAAACATAATCGTGATTTATTTTGCTTAGATTTAGGAACTTTATTGAGATCATTATTTTGCATTTTTGTGTGTGATCCTAAAACGTAGGATATGATTGGTTTCTGGATGATTTCGTGATTTATTTGGAAACAAACATAATACTGAGATCATTATTTTACTGTCTTTTTTCTTTGCTACAGCCTTAATGGATCCTAACCAGCAGAGACAGCAACTCAAGAATGTCGCATTCGACTTGCTCAATGACATTGCGATCAATTTGAGTCAACTCTATGATTTGGCAGACATGGCCAACAATACATGTACAATCACACAGATCGAAAACGTCATGGAAAACTGTGAGAATCATGCGGCTAGTATCCTCAATTTGCCGCTGCCGAATCCTCCGCCAGAGAATCACGAAGAAGACGCTCATTCTGACACAGATGAGGAGTTGAACTAAGAGATTTAGTAGTTTTATATGATTTGTAATTGATTTGTAGTGGATGACTTATTTAATTAGTAGTTGATTCTACTATTTATGTGAGTCAACTACTAATCCATCACATATTAAATAAACAAAATGCCTTAAATATTAATCTATGCTGATTCTACTACTATTAAAATGCATTTTCTCTCTCTCTCAAGCAGCAGAGAGACACATCACACATAATATGTGATTCACATTTCTCCCTTGGATAATGTGTAATTAATGTTCTGTCTCTCTCTCAATTGTAGTTTTTTTTCCTATAATAAAGAGATAAAATATTCGATCATGACGTTTTAAATAAAACAAAACAAAAACCTTATAGTTTTCCATGACGTTTTCGATCGGTGAGAATCATGCGGCTGGTTTATTTAGAAAGTTGTTCTCTAAGAAATTCAACTTATTGAGTGGCAGATAAATTCTTGCACTATCCTCCTTAAATCAAGCATTTACAAAAAAAGAAAAAACGAAAAACTTCAAATTTATTTTCAGAGAAATTTCATTCAAAAGATCATCTCCTCAGTCCCAAAAGATCAAACAAGTAAACCAATAATGACGTTATGTTTTGAAAATATAAATAGTAGTTGAATTTAGGGTCAGTTTTTGAAAAATTCAACTTATGTTTTGACGTTAAGTGTGGACAGTTTTTGATTGGACCTATATTAATTGGGCCAAAAGGAGAAAAGTGTAAAGGGCCCAAACATTTAAACAGAGTCGAATTTAGGTTTTTTTTTTAATGTTGGTATAAAGTGGTCGTCTCATAAGATCTGAGTAGCGTTTAGCCACCGACCACTCCGAAGAAAACCTGAGATCTGATCATCAAAGTATCCATTGAAAAGGTAATTCTTCTTTTGCTTTGTTTATGACTCTATAGAGCCTTTTTTTATGTTAAAATTCTGTAAACAACAGAATCTCCTGATTTTTCTGAGCAAAATTTTATTAAAATACTGGATTTGCTTAAATTGATTAACTTGTTTTTTGCTTTGTCTGAGATAGTGAGATCCAATAATGTAGCGATTTTAAAGATTGATAATTGGTAAATAATTGTGTTTGTGTTTGTGTTTTGTTACAGGCAAATATGGATGATAATGAGAAGAGAATTCAACTAAGGAAAGAAGCTCATTCTATGATTGATGAGATTGGTAACCATCTTTCGAAGTTGCAAGATGTTGTTGCTAATGCCACCGACATTGCTACCCTTACCCTTGTTTTGAATACCATTGAGATGTGCAATTCTGAAGCTGCCAAGATCTTGTCCTCGCCTCCACCAGCGGATCAAGGAGACACTTAGCCTATCTAATCCGATGAGAGTTGTATTAACCAGTTCTTGATGACTTAATTGTAGCGTATCTTATTATTTAGTAGTGGATGACTTATTTGTAGCGTATCGGATTATTGTCGTTAGATAAAGTTTAAAATATTATTGTGTGTTTTCACTAGTCCACATTATTATTGCCTATGGAAATCTTCAGTATTTGAAACAAACAAACAAAATGTTTAGATTTCCATGTTCTAAATTTACTATTTCTCTAAATAATGAATTCACTAATTGAGTGTGAAAACAACTGATACACGAAAAAAAAAATCTCCAAACATATATAGCTGAGAAAAGAATTATACTTTATTTAATCGAGTAAAAGTAACAATTTTGCATTTTACATAAGAATGGAAGAGAAACATAAACAGCACATAACAAGTGCTGAAGAAAATTACTCCTATTGCTTATTCTCAACACTCTTGAATTAATCACACTTTTTTTTCTTTTTCTTCTTCTATAGCTAAACCCTATGAATATCTCACTATATATCTGACCAATGAATCCTTTATCAGCATATTTTCTTTTCAAAAATAATAATAAATCTATATATATGTTATATAGTAGAACCTCTTAAATTGGAGGAGCATCTAGAGGAGTGAAAACCCTGTGGTGGCAAGTAGGGTTACAAGGGTAAGGACAATCTATCTTCTGAAACAATGTTCTGTCATAAACCCAATCACCAACAGCTTTTGCTATTGTCTGCAAATTAAGAAGAAATAATAATTATAAGAACACAAGTAACATTGATTCTAATGACATTTTGTTTGACAAGAATTTGGAGAAAGTCTGCTTTTTTGTACCGTTCGGTTTAGAATTGGAGAATCTTGCCAGAACCATGAAGTTTGTGTTTCGGTTTGGCAGTGAGTGTAGCAAGAATCTATGAACATTCCTCTTGATGAAGATCTCCCTAAACCTATCACTGCACTCAAGAACTCTAACCTGAAATCTAAAAGACCATAAAACCCGGAAAGTTTTAGACCCTTTTCATGCATTTGATGTTAAGAAATGATCCAGCAAAATCAGATGATAAGTTTTGGTTCTAAGGCTAACCTTGCATAACTTTGATCTGACTTGGATGACAATTCTTGATGTCTAGTTGGCAACTTTGCCATTTTCCGTAAGGATCAGCTGCCCGCGGAGCCAAAATGTTCTTTATCTGATAAAGAAATGTGAAACAAATGTTGAGTTTTTGAAGTTAGATTATGGAAATAGCTGAAAGATCTGTTCTTTGAACAAATCTTGCAGTGACAAAGAGATAACCTACCTGCCAAGAGTCGTAAGCAGCATTAAGAATGAACAGAGGAGTTCTAATCTGGCGAGCGACGTATTGCGGAAAGAAACACTGCAGATTTTTGGTGATAGATTATATGAGTAAAACTTGAAGAGAAACAAAAAAGGCTTTAAAGAGATAACATGAATTCTTTTTACCATTGCAGGAGTTAATCTTGATGTGCATGACCTCGGCAAGTTCTTTGCTGATCCCTGCAGAAATATTTCGTTGAAAAGTTCCAATAAGCAACTGAATTAATTGTCACTGGAGAGGAAAAAGTAAATATAAAGCTTACATGAAGAGTAACCACATCTTCGAAGTATGATTTAATGTATTGAACTCCTGAGACATCTCTTCTGAAAACATACCAATGAAATGTCATTTCTAACTTTTTTCAGTCAGTTGATGATGAATAGGGAAGGATCAAAAACAGAGTAATGGTCTTACGTGTTGAGAAAAAAACCAGCATCTGAAAGACATTTTACTTTGGTACCCATCGGTAATAGAGCACGGAAACTGTCACAATGCATCAACGAAGCCAACCCGCCAGCGGAACACCCAGACAAAACAGCCTGCCATAGTTTCATAAACGTTTTAGACCACTTTGAAGGGTCAAAAGCTTGCAAGAGTTAATGGAGATTGGAGAAATTTGGTGAAGGAAAGAAAAGCTAACATTCTCGGCGTTTAGCATGCCTTTAGCTAGCAGCTCTTGCATAACGGCTAGCCAAACTCGAGCACCTCTGAAGTGAAGATTAGTAGCCTGATCAAATTACCATTATGATTATCGAATAAGGAAGAAAACACTAAATAAATCTCATGTTTTCTTCTTAGTACTCACAGGGTTCACTGCTTGCACATCTCCTGTGAATGATGACCCGTCACAGTATCTAACTTTCACTCTATTCCAATTGTAAAAATCTGTCATTTCCAAGAAGAACAAACCAAACCCATAAGTAAAAAACTTAACTTTATGTTTGATCAACAAGTTGGTCAAAAGCTGTTATCATTCATACCAGGATTATATTGTTTCTTATTGCTAAGAATAGCTGAGAAAGCAAGGTTCTCCACCATTTTCTTCGATGAACCTAATCGAGTATGCATCCGACTAACGCAATTTGTTACATTATTGCACCATCCTCCTCCCTAAATCAAAGCAATTCCAGAACACTCAATTATCTTCCACAAAAACTTCATTCAAAAATCATCTCCCAAGTCCCAAAAGATCAAACCAGCAACCGATAAAGGCGATAAACTATTCGATAAACGCATGCTAGACTAAGCCAAAGCAAGAACAACATCATAACACAAGAGGGGAAAAAAGCAGAACAAAACCTCAAGCTGTATCAACCAGCTATTGATTCCAGTTCCAGAACCTCTGTCTAAATGATAAGCTGGTGGACTTCCATCCAAACAAACTGCAGAACCAAACAAACATAAATGAAGAATAAAAAAACACAAATAAATTATAGGAACATAAATTATAAATATATAAATAGAATTTATAACTCACCGGCCCCTTTTGCGACTGCGTTTCTAACATATGTAATATTAACAAACAGTCCTTCTGTGTTCATTATTACTAACGAACACACCAAAAGAATCAACCATTGCTTGAACTTGAACATTCTGGTGAAAGAAAACAAAGCAAAATAAATAAATTAAAGAACTTTATAAAATTGAAGTACAGGGGAAAGAAAATAGCTAACAAAAATGACACTATAGTACTTAAAAGAAAAAAAATTCTTAAATTAGATCCGAACTATATGTTAACACCATTTTAATAGCATTTGGTATCTAAAAAAACGATACTTTCAGTTTTTAGTAGATTTTTGCGGTACCTGAGATTTCAATTTCCAGCTAATCAAACCAAAAGAGAAAACTTTTTCCCAGAAATTTTACAGATAGGAACATTTCATCTATGGATTCGATTTTGTCAGAAATGTTTTTCTCGAAAAGGCAATGCATAAAGAAATTCGAAATCTTTCCCTCTACGTAGAAGGAATCAACGAAAAAGAATCAGTTTTGCTTTTGCAAACTGGGAAAAGAATAAATCTTTCTTGGAAAGAAAGTTTCAACCGCAAACGCACTTACTTGTAAACGCGGTTTCTTACAAAATCCCAAACCTGAGATTAGTGTAATAGAAACTTCGAAGTTGCTAACTCGGACGAGGACTCAGTTTCAGCACATTGTCAGAAGACGCGGTTTTCGAGCAATGGTGGCAGCAGAAGAAGAATCCTGGAGAAATTAAGCGTTTGTATAACGCGCGGTTTGGATCCGACGTAAAATGTTTTTTTCTTCGGAACCCAAGAGCCGACACTGATCCGTTCGTTTTCGTGAGAAAAAAAAAAAAAAAAAGAGAGTATAATAAAACAAAGAATTGTGGTGTGTACGAGAAGATGATGTGTTTATATACCAAAATGTTTTCAGATTTTACCCGACATTATTATTTCCTTATCAATTGGACCCTTTTTCTTTTCTATTATAATAGCCCCCTTTATACTACTACTTACTAAATTATCACAGAAAATAATAATCAAATCTAATAACTTAATAAGTATATGATTTTTACATAAAAATTTCTTGTTTCTCTAGTTGTTTAAAAAGGAACTTTAACAGAAATAGATGAACCTAATGATTTTGTAAAAGTTACTCATGAGCATTTTTTAGTTGGGATAAAATCACTTATTTCAAATTTATGATATTTCTTTGATTTGAAACCAACTACTTTTTTATATTTCCTCCTAGAAATAATATGATTTAAGTTAAGTAAACTAAAAGATGGTTAACTAGTAGTATAAGGTGTATGAGAGCATATAAAATACATTTTTTTAACCTCTTGAGCATATAATATTTAGTTTATTATTGCAAACTTTAAATTTCGACTCATGCCATGTCCTTTTATCGATTAATTGATTACTTGGTCAAAATAACATTGATGATTGTGGGGTTGACTGGACAAAAACATTAATGTAAGGGGTGAGATATCAAAGATTGACATAAAATGAGGGGTTCAAGCGTGAAGAAGACTTGAGTTCAGAAATGCTAATAGCAGTAGTGAGTTGACACGTCAGAAAAGGTGTTCTGTTGAAATGGGTTGGATATGGATCCGACCCAAATGTCGGGGTGGGTGACGTGATCCGGTCGGACCGGTAATGTAATGTAATGGTGTTGTTGAAATGTTTGTTATGTAAAGAATCTCTTTATCAGCCAGCTTGTGAATTACGCGTTCCGCAGCCAACAAACGGCTGACGATTTGTTCGGGAATATGGACTGTTTTTGTCTTTTCATTTTGTAAAAGTGATTTTATTCTCTGCGTGCAACTTCATCGTTGATTCGGCTATCGCCAACTCCTTCTCTTTTCAATAAAGGAAACCTAGTCCAAAACTAGAAGCCAACGATTCCTGTTTTTTTAAAACAATTATATGACAAAATTAATCGGAAAATTGTTAGAGACTATACGATTGGTGGACAGGTTTTCATAAAAATTATATAACATATGCATTGTTTCTTTATTAAAAAAAAAAGGAAGATAGTTGATGTAGAGAAGTAACCAAACAAAGGGACCAAAGTGATGTAACAAGTAAACAACAAAGTCAATTCGGTCTATCTGAACCTCAAAAGAGAATTATGATTATTTATTTCGAAGCTTATCTTGTCTTTTTTTAATATACTTTATTCACAAAAACAATTGTTAAGTGTTTAATAACTCAGTCTTTATTTAGACTTTTGTTACTAATTAATGTCAAATCTCTTATGGAGCTTGTTACCTACTGAACTAAATAAAATAAAACTCTACCTATTTCACAAAAAAGATATTCAGTTATTTTTTTAATATT